GTTTTACTAGAGTGGGCCTGTTTCTTGACCGTTCCTGATTCATTTGCCCTTTTAATATTTTTAAATTAGATGAGTAAATATTTGTTCTTTTTCATCATTTCGGTTTCCTTATTTGGGAACTTCGTTATTTATATAATGGATGTTCCTCACCATCTCTTATATTTATCATCTCTTTGGTGATTCTTTTACATTCTTAAATTTTTATTTAATTTGTTTGAATTTTCTCTTATCTGTCCCATGTGTATTTTGTGCCCCTTTCATTTCTACCTCCTTTTCTGTGGTGGTTTTATTTTTTTTCCTTCCATTTCTTTTCTGATAGTTCTGTCTCTTCCTGTTGCCTCACCATTTCATCATCCCTCAGCTCTTGGATTCATCCTTTACAGAAGCAATTGCTTCATCGCATTTAAAAAATTCGTGGTGAAATGCGTGTTCATAGTTTTTACTGGCTTGGTGGAGCTGTTTTTCTGGTGGATGGCCATTTATTCGTTCAGTGAACACCCATCAGGTACCTGCCATTGTGATCACCTCTGCCCTGTGTAGTTTACATTCCAGGGGACAGATAATAAATAAAATAGGTAACCACTTACGTAGTATTTTCGAAGGTGACAGGTGCTACAGAACAGAGTCCGGGAGTGCTGGGGAGGGGTAGGGCAGTTCTGAATAGGGATGGTCAGGGAAGGCCTCCCTAAAATGGTGTCATTTGAGCAATGACTTAATGGAGGTGAGGGAGCAGTTGTTAAAGAAAAAATTATTCGTGACATCTGTGAAGGCAGTAAAGCAGACCGTTCAAGGTGTAGGGACCGCGTGGCGTCTTGCCGTGGGGAGAAGTCAGGCTCAGCTGTGAGTCTGGCATGGGCGGTGGGAGTTGATAGCCAAGGAGCAGGGTGGGCATCAGCAGATGGGAGATTACTGAGAGGAGACATCAGGGGCTGGGGGGATTCTGACTAAGCCGACCTAACAAGGGCTTTGCTGAAGGTGGGCCACATGATCAGATGTCACCTGGGGGAAGGTGGAGGATAGGACGAGGAACCTGATCAAAGGTGATCAGATACACAGGATGGCTAAACTGACTTAGCAGCATTTTTGCTAAAGTTGGACAGAGTAGAGAGGAACATGGAAATCTAAAAGTTGAGGCCTATTTGAAAAAGAGCGGCTAAACTGACTTAGCAGCATTCTTGCTAAAGTTGGAAATCTAAAAGTTGAGGCCTATTTGAAAAAGAGCGCAAGGGAGGCTGAGTAGAGTTTGGCCAAAGAGAGAATCTTTGTCACAAGCCACGTGGGTATCCAGAGCAAAAGCACCCAGGTGTGGGGAAGAGCATGTGCAGACGCCCTGAGGCTGGAGTGTGCGGGCAGGTTCAAGGGAGAGCAAGGGGCCAGTGAGGGCTCGGAGGAGTCACGAGGGGAGAGTTAGGAGACGAGGTCTCACGGGTCAGGAGGAGGGGCAGATGCCCCTTTGGGAGGACTCTGGTCTTCACCCTGAGTGAGGTGGGGGCCTCGGTAGGGTCCTTTAGTAGAGGAGCAACATGATCCGTCTGTGTGCTCATCATCAGCCACTTGGATTTCTCTCCAGCCGCTCTCATCTTTACTCACATTATCTGTCCTGTGCTGCTCCGCTGGTTCTTTTCATGTCACCTTCTTGTAGGAGATGAATTTATTCCTAGACCAGGTCTGCTGAGGTTTTATGCATTGTTTCTTTAGACTTTACTTTTCGCCCACTTGTGAGATAAGCCCCTGGGGAGGTTTTCACAGCGCAGGGGGCCTCAGTACCTCCCTCTGCTGCGGAGACAGACGACAGCTTCCTGCTTCCTGCTTCCTGCTTCCTGCTTCCTGCGTGGGGCTCATTTGCAGGATTTCTCATTGGGCCTCCTATGCTCCTTAGAACCTAACCAGTTCCTCCCCCCATGCCCTCACGTTCCAGGAGCATATTTCCACAGCCTTGGGGCCTCGTTTCGGCTTTTGACTCCGTGCCCGCCCCTTCCCCGTCGTCCACTGCCCCGTCCTGTCCAGCCTTCACTCTTCAGCGGCTCTTCCACGTACTTCATGGCATGTAACTGTCTCCTTGCTTCACTGAGAATGGAGTTCATGGTTTTCTTTCTGGTTCATCTGGTTGATTTTCAGGAATCCAGAGGGGAATGCTTACTTGACATCTCCATATTCAAACCCAGAGCCCTAATCGTGGGTTCGATATTTAATTCCAAAGAACAAGAAAGAAAAAAAGTGTACTTTTGTAGTGGCCGTTTACATTTAGAGAAGACAGAAAATGTCCTCTCTTATACCAGCCTTTGGATAAACATGGTAGTGGTTTATCCACTTCAGCATGGCTGTGAAGACCAGGTATGACCAGTAGCCTCTGAACACCTTGTTCCCAGCCTGATCATTTGGTTTGTCATTGAAGATGGCTGCTTGAGGCCTGTCTCTAGACTCGGCTCCTCCAGGGCAGAGACCGGAGCTGATTTGCTGTAGGTTGTGTGTGTGTCGGGGAGGGGGGTACCCTCGAACACATCACCTTGCAGAGGGATAAGATTTCATTCATAGTGCTGGTGAGAACCGAAGCGTCTGTGCTGGCCCACGGACCAATAGCACAGGTGCAGCCCCTGTTAAGGGGCAAGATGAGCAGTCTAAAGCACCGGGATTGTCATCTCGCATCTTCGCATGCACACACGTGTGGGGCCTGCACCTGTCTCTCACCTGCGTCTTTTTTCTCTGGTGAAGGGCTTCCTTGATGAGAAGACCAACGCTCTGGCTCTTCTCCCTAAAAGAGAGCACACGTGCACATGGTTTTGTGCATTGTTTCTGGGGTTCATTGCCATCCTTAAGTCTGTGAGTGGCCTCTCTGAAGTCATGGCCCCCTCTTACATTGGGTGAGGCACTGGCACGATGCAGAGCCGTAACTTTGTTTTCTCCTTGTGGGCAGTTCTAGATAAAAGTCTGCGGGGCACAGGGGCCTCTCTGTGAAGTCTGGGGTGTTCCTTAATTTTTAATTACTCAAGTTCATTCTTTCCTCATTTGCAGGATTAATCAAGAATTGTCTGGTATACCCAAAACTACAATGTTATATGTCAGTTAAATCTCAATAAAGAAAAAGAAAAAAAAGATAGTTTTCTCATTACCATGGCTCATGTTGAAATGTCTTTTATTTCGAAAATTCTTGGGCTACACTTGGACTAATTCTATATCCTCTCTTTGTTGGTAGGAATCAAATAGACCTGCATATTGGTAGAATGTCTAATTGGTCTACAAATATTTTATTTTGTATTCTCTCTACTATATTCTTTCTTAATTAAAATCAGAGAGTGACAAAAGAGTCCCTTGGGTCATAAAATATTTACTCTGCTTACTTTCAAGGTACTTCACTTCCAAGGTGCTTTTTCCTTCTTACACAATAGCGATTAAGGAAAGAGAAGGTTCTTTTGATGTCATGATTATAATATGCCAATTAGTGGTCAACCTGGATCCTGGTCCCACGAGGTTAACTGGCAGTGTCATGATTAAGAAGAAGCAGAACTATCCTCTAGTGCTATTGTGTTGTTTAATTGATAAAATTCATGAAATAATTTTATCTTATTTTATTTCTGGGACATACTAGTCAAGTATATTTTTAAAAATATACTAGTGGATTTAAATTTTTAAAAATGAGATATTTCATTTGGGTTATACAAAAATTAATAGAATTAATTTTAATTAAATTTAAAAGCGAAATTAATTCAGAAGAATTATCATTTAAAATCGCTTATGAGCTTTTTGTGTTAACAAAAAGTTCTGTTCCTTGAACTGCTTAAAAAGGAGAAGTTAGTGTTTGTTTTAATTTAGACTTCAGAGCTTTGGAATGGGGAGCGGGAAACAAAATCAAAAGAACATATTTAAGGGGCATAAAATAGTCCCTGCTCCCCAAATTCCATGTCAGGGGAGAACCTGGTGAAAGTTTTTTCACTAGATGACTAGAGGAAATAACAGGTAAACAGATTTAAACAGCACTAAGAGATTTTTTCAATGCTTCGATCTGCAGGCCATGTTAAAATTTTGCTGTTTTTCTTTTCTTTGGTTGTGTTGTCCGCTTTCTGCCATCGTATTACCATTCGACGGCAGTCCTGCCCCATTTCTGCTGGTCATTTCAGAAACCCACTGTTTCGTATTTATTGTGGATTCTCTTTCCCCTCCGGTTGGTGCTATTTAGGTTGGTGCTATTTAATCTCCTCGACTTCCTGTTCCTCTGAACTCCCCTCCACCCCCCACCCCGTAACAAATTGAGACTATCAAGTTCTATGGCGACAGGAAGAAACTGTCATCTAAGAATGTAGTTAATGTCCATATTCTCTTACTCAGTAATTATCTTCAGATAAGTGAATAGATGATCTGTCGTGAAGTCTTTCTTGAATGCTCCGTGAGCTGGAGGCTTGACTGTTTGCCAGAGTGAACCAGGACAGGGCGGGAAGGACCCCCTGGGTGTGTTGATGACCTTAGCTCTCCAGCAGGCCTCCTGAGCAGAGAGGGCACCAGGCTCACAGTCTTGTTCAATTACTCATGCACTTGAAAATGTGGTCATTTTAGTCAGCATTCTTGAGAAAGAACCCAAAGAAAAGGGTTTTATTTCATTGCATTCCTTCCAAAGAGATCGTCACCATGCTCGCGTGTCCTGTGGTCAGGAATCTGCCATTTGCCCCAGGCCTTTCTCTTTGCCCTTTTGAAATCTGACATTTGTGGGGATTCTCCCAGCCGAGAATGACGAAAGCCAACGAACGGGATGACAGTCCTCGCCCCCTGCCCCAGCTGCTCCCCATCGCTGTGTTCTGGGCTGCCCTGTAATTATCGGTGGCTGTCCAGGCCCCCACCAGGGCCGTGCCCTCTCCACCCTGGCCACCAGGTGTCTGGTCTGCAGTAAATGCTTGATGAACGTCTGCATCATCAAGTCAATTTGAGCGAATCGACTGCGAAGGAGACTTTTGCTAATAAATAAGGCGAATGAAGAGGCTGCTAATTAACCGACTTTCTCACCTCCCCAGGAAATGCTGTCTGGCGTGGTGGTCATATTTGGGAAGGACCCCATCCAGCACCAGGGCGTCTCCCTGACGGCGGAAGGGACCGTGAACCTCCAGCTCAGCGCCAAGAGCGTGGGTGTGTTCGAAGCTTTCTATAACTCGGTGAAGGTGAGAGGCTTGGGTCGCACATCTTCAGTTCATTACGCAGATGTCTGTGGTGCTTTTCACCGGCTGGCTGGCTTTATTATTGTTGGCCGTCATTTTGCAAGGTATAACGATAGTGGTGTTTTTCATATTTACTAATCAAACTGAAAAAATAGTCAGATACGTTGATTCTGAATAGCTCCTGCTCCTGCATTCTGCTTGTTTCTATTCCTGTCGGGTGGGGTCAGAGAACTGTAAGAGGACTGAGTTCAGCCATGGGGAAGGCCAGAGCTC